GTCCTTCAGTTGGAAGTAGCAGTTTCGTACACAGTATCCTAGTAATTCCATGATTACTTGTATCGGTAAGTTTGTTCTATCTTTCAGGTCTCCATCTTCAGATAGCTTCTTCTGTATGATTTGAAGTGCTTCTTCGACAGGATCGTTGGTTTAGAGGCTTTCCAAACTGATCAGTTGATCCTGCTCTTTGATTTCGATTTCCCCTAGTAGTTCAAGGAAATGCCTTAAATTTTCCACAAAAGATGATGTTTTACCTTGCAATGGTTTAATTATTGGTGGTAAAAATCTGGACAAGTTGTGAGTGGCTGAGTCTTTGGAGCTAATGATCGGTCTGAGCGGAACATCCCTTTTGTGAATTTTGGGTGATCCATACAAGTGAGGGGGCTTACTGTGGTGCGCTGTTAGTGATGATCTCTCTTTTTCCGAAAAATAGACTTGGTGCCTTTTCAAAGTCTGGTATTTATTCATTTGTTAAAGCAGTACAACATGCGGTAATACACAGATGTAACTACTTTATTACACTAGTCGTACATGAAGATCCAAATGAGTAATAGGTATTAAACACATAAATTCACATTCAACAACGTATTTTTAGAATATTTATATAATGAAATTTATGTACGTTCAAATGAAAATGTAAAAAGTTTTCAAATCTGCAGTTCAATATTGATATCCATAAGTACGAGATTTTCAGTTACTCTGATCTTTCCATTTATTGAAGTTCCTTCGTTTTGCTCCTTGTTTTGTCTGAAAAAGTGTTTGGTCCTTCTTCTGACTGTTGAGATTGATGCGAATTGTCAATTTTAAGTTGAAACGACTGTATAGCACCTTCTTCGGCCAAAAACTGTTTTTATAAATTTGGTCTCTTTGATGAGGTACTACACCGATCATGAAGGATTGGTTGTCCCACCTGGAACTTCTGGTAGGTAGTTTTTTTACACTAGTGTTTGTGGAGTCGGTGCGAGAGCTCATGTATGTTTTCTTTATTGATTGTGTCTGGAATTCTAAATAGGAATGGCCGAATTTTCTTTTCATTCCATGATGGAATAGTGATAAATCCAGTTATGGACCCTCCTAGACAAGCTTCTGCCACTTATTTTCTTCAGATATAGATATGTATGCAGTTTTTATGATTGGATTATATTATTCATTTGTTGAGCAACTGAAAAACATATAGGTAATTAATTATTGATTATTGGTATATGGATTGTTTGTACTTTCTCGGCATAATTTTGCATGAAATTTCATTTTCTTGAATTATATCCAAAGCAAGTACTTTTCCCAAACACAGGTTGGTTTCACCAACCAACTTGGCATCTTCAGGAGATGAAAAAAGCTAAATTCCTAACTTTAAAACTGGTCTCTATTAATATCCACTCCACGTTACACTTTCACTTTCCGATATAGGTACATCAAAGATTTCGGGTATAAATTTGCGGAAATTTTGTCGTGAAAGTTCTTGTCATGATTCATAAAAAGGTATACTTGCCTTCTACTCTCAAGGAATTGTTAATAAAAAAAATTGTTAAAAAAAATAACCAAACAAATTTGATTTCATTAAATGATATTCCTAGACATTTTTACCACAAATACTATAAATATATTGAAAGTATGTAAATACATTTTGTTTATATTAAAGTTGAAAAAAAACTGTTAAAAAACATAATTCTGATTAGATTCATTTGAATTGGTATTTGTGAGAAATAAAAATTACTAGAGGAGCAGTACCTCACTGTAGGATATATTTTTATAATTGAAAATTAGTCTCTGAATGTTTTCAGCTGGGGTACTACAAGTTTTCTTACTCACTTCCATCAAATAACGATTTCACCAAAACTTAACAAAGAATCGAAATAAATGTCCTCCTTAGGAAAACGTAGAAGCTTAGTTTACAACTGTCAATATTTATTGATTCATCTATACCACCAAAAATTAGAAACTAATGTTTCTTTCAATATTATTTCGGAATCACCATTTCCTTATGTTTAATTACAATACCTTGAATGGTTTTTCACCAGTATGGATTCTCTCGTGCCTCTCCAGAAGTGATAACTTGATAAAACTCCTCTCACAAACACTACAAGGAAATTTTTTTGCCTTTGGAAGAGAAGACCTGGACGTTTTTCTAGTTTTGGTGAAGAAAGTTTTAGATCTCTGATGTTCTGCGATGTGAGACCTATATTCGAGGCGGTTTTTGAAGTTAACTTTGCAATGGGAACAAGTGAAAGGTTGAATAGTCTTACATTCCAGTTCATGGGATTTCATATGTTTCACATAATCGTCCTGGAAGTTGAAAAAGTGACTTAATGTTGAGTATTATATACATTATATACATGATCTGCAACATAACTGAACAAATTATCAACAATCTGCTTCTTGATCTGAAAACTTAATTATACTTGTTCATTGTTTTAAAACATACAAAAACATTACCTCTTTCTCGAATTCTGCCCGGCACTTTTCACACGAGTGTACCTCCTCTACATGATGTACCATCAAATGGGATTTCATACCCGCAGCCCTCTGATGTGTCAAAGTAACATTGCAAATAGGACAGCTTCGTTTATCGTCCGTTGGATGATCTAATATCATATGGATTTTCAAATTATTTTCGACATTATATCCAGCAGAACACTCGGTGCATTTGAATTTTTTTTGAAACTTATGAGACTTCAAATGATCTTGGTATTCATTTGAGGTACTAAAATTATCACCACACCTAATACACATGTAATTATGAGTATCTTGTGAATTGGCTTCTGCTATCACTGGTTGTGGAAATTTGTTTGCATCTGAACTAGTGGGTTGGAATTGATTTTGTGGCAACTTTATTGCGACTATAGCATCACTGAAATAAAATCAAAAACAGGATCACAAGTCAAACCAAATCATTGGTAATGATGTTCTCATTATAAATTCAAATCAACAACTTGTTGATTTGAAAAATCAACAAGCAATATTAGACAATGAAAACATTGGAAGTTCAACATAAAGCTTGATTAAATTGCATGGTTTTAATATACTTTGCATATTTGTCACAGATAAGGAGGTACTTGCAACAGAGGAAATACTACTTTCTCAAGAACATTAAACATTAAACAAAACAAGGTTGAGTGAATTATTAGATATGACCGTACTTATGCCATTATCAAATTATAGGGAAAGGTTCCTGAATAGTGGACGCAAAAGGAATATTATGAATCAATAAAAACACTTCTTGCTCATTTATTTCTATCAGTTTGAGTAGCTCTCATATTCGTACATAATCTAAATAAATCATATAATTGATATGGACAAAAAAAGCATATGTTGGTGGACAATCGAATTTTGTCGACGTTCAATAAAAGTGAACATTATGTAACTGAAAACAATCTAATTATTTATTATAGTACTTTGGTACTATTGATATCACACATATTTAAAAAGTCTTTTTTAATGTGTTTTGTAAGTCATTTGATTGCAATCTTGGCAGAGAATAAAATATTCATTGTTAGCTTTTTGGCAGACCAACCAAGTTGTTTGTAATGTGGTCAAATAATGTTGAAACTATAGTTAGTTGAATAACATACACAACCTTGGATGATAAAACAACATGGTCAGCAAGTTCAATAAAAAGATTGACATGAAATGTGAGATCAATGACCAACTTTGACGAATGATTCATTAATTCAACAAAAAAAAATTGAATTATATACCAAAATTAATCTTCAGATAGATTTGCACTTACATGGTTGTGTAAATGAATCTATTTATCTATTCATCACTGTATTTAAAGAAAAATTATAAGCATTTACCTTGGTATGTCAGTTTCCTTACTGGTTGATGTGAAAATGTCTACTAGTTCAAACATACTTTGATTATCAGTTCCTTCCCCCATCTAAAATATGAAATCGTTAGAGAATTGAAGAATGTTGTGTGAATCTCATTTTTGAATATTTTAACAAAAGGGTGTATGGATGGCCACTGTTTTGAAGCTCACCATTATGATTCCGAAACTTTAGGTATAGATGGACAAAAAAATGGAGAAAAAATTGAATGGACTATTTTAAATAATTCTCGAATATGTGAAAGATTTCAAAAAGTTCAATTTCTTTTTACGCCAAGGACTAAATTTATAAAAATAGCAATAAAGTACTTGAATATTTTATTGAATTTTATAAAATCTAGAAAGACTTCAAATGACATTTTCAATACAACATTTTATATTTCCGGTGTTCTGTTAATACTATTTTTTCCCATACAGAGCTAGATATTTTTTCATCAAGTCTGTTAGGTCATCTTGTGAATAAAATGGTCCATCACATGCATGCAGTACGGCCCAGCCATTTTGTTGGTGTTGCCCTTACTTTTAGTTACACCATACTGATGGTGGGCCAAATTGACTGAGAAATGTAGGGAAAAAGGTTTAATTATTCATAAAAGGTATATTAGGAGTTAGAATAAATGAAAATCCCTTTCTTTACTTGAAATAATTTTGGGACAGTTCGACAATTAATTGATAATTTTTTATGATTAATTAAAAAAATGTTTCAGGCTCTTCTGAAATTATTTTGTACATAGGAGTTTTTGGGGAAGCTGTGTTATGGAATCGGCTAATTCTTACTTACAATACTACACTTATTGTGAGGTTTTTACTGAACAGTTTACAAAACCACAACCATGTTTAGCTATACAATAGTTTCCTCAGGTGTATTCATATGGTTAATATATACAGGATTATTCTCTTTTTCAGTACATATAAAAATGAAATTGGTGGTTACTAATAGAGGAAAAATCATAATAAGAATTTATATAAATATTGTCCTCAAAGTAAAAAAAAAGTATTTTCAAGTTTTTTTTCACATATCTTGGGAACCCTATATCATGACTGTACAGTTGAGCAGTGAAAAAGTAGCCACCCTATATTTCATAACGAAAGGAGGAAATCTTCAGTTTTAGCAGTTACCGCTTTTCATTAAGGTAATTTTAGTGTATTGAAATAATGTGAAATATCCACACCTCATCAGTGTTGGGTTCCTGAATTAAACAAAATATTTTTGATTCCTTGCCATCACTAGTACCAAATGTATTATGCTCTAAATTTACAGCTATGTAGGGTAGATCATTCATCATATTGTAAACGTGTGTATGACTGTTGTTCAACATGATTTTGTTGAGGAAAAAATCAAAAAAAGAACTCTCATTTGTAAAGTGGTTAGAAAAAAATTCAATTTGCTATAACCTGTAAAATTAAAAGTAAACAGTATTCTTCTTCCCTAATTTAAAAGTCACAGCTTCCATAAGTCGGCGCTATATGACCAGCTCTCTTCCTTTGTGTAATATACACTAAGAGAACTGTGTCCTGGGAGTGCAGAAGTCTTGTTTTACACAATTCTGCACTCCTCAATAATGCTTCCTAATTTCATAAATTGCTTGCACGTCTTCCGACGGCGGACATACACAACCGATTAAACTATCACCACACAAATGAGTATTGTTTTGTTTGAAGGTGATTGACAATGTTTCATGATGAATTTCACTAGTTCGGACTTCCATTGTCTACTATATAAAATGATTTGAAATCCCTGAAACAA